TTCCTTGGGCACATAGTAGTCATCTGCGCCCAGCCGGTGCTCAGGACACTTTTGTGCAATAATTAAATCGATGGTTGGGGAGCCCAGTGGTCTCGGGCCAGCCCCACCTTCTTTCTATATTTGCAAATAGAAGAGGACTCTGGACCCTTTCCAACTTGAATGTAATCATCTCTAGGGGTGGAGGCCCCTTGGTCCCCAGATGGTTGGATCCTTTCTGATCCTGTATCTACCTTCAAGGAGCTCGAAGATTAAGATAACCAGACTCCAAGGTATTTAGCATCCTCATAGAGATTGGGGTAATTCTCTTCATTCTCATACTAAGAAACTAGAAGGGGGGAAAGTTTATCTGAGGTCATGAGGCCAGGATTAGAGCCAGCGCCCCTCCCTGGTCCATTCTCTTGCACAAAAGGATGGTGGCAGCCATAGGAGGGCACCGCCCAGGCTTCCCTTCAGTGAAGAATGTTCTGGAAGGAGTGTCTGTTAGCTGACGGCCCCCAGCTGTTGCATTTTCCCTTTGGGATCTGCCGCAGCAGTCCTGCTGAGGCCACACTTTGTCCAGGCTGTTCCCGCCCAATGACAGCACGACGGGGACGGGGCGGCCGGTGGCAGGGGGTGTGGGTGCGCCCAGAGCTGGGCCATTCTTCCTGACGCAGGACCCCTCCGATGAGCCGTCTTTGCTCTGGGGCTCCACGTCAGCCTGCCAGAGACTCTTCCAGAGTTTCACTATATCTGCGGCCCTTCCCACCCAGCCTCCGTCCTTCCCTCTCCTTTCTCAGGGGTCAGACTTGCATCGCGGTCTCCCCTCCTATTCCTGTCCCTCCCCACTTTATCCTTCACGGGCATTTTCCCCCCAGTAAATCTCTTGAACTTCTAGTTCCATCTCAGTGCCTGCTCCCTGGAGGGCCCAAACTGCCACAGTTCCAGTTGCTCCGGGGTAAGGCCGGGCGCATCTCTGCCCAGGGCCCCTGTTGCGGCTGCTCTTGGAAAGTCAGTCCCAGGACCAGACTGTTCTCTGACCCAGAACTCTTGCTGAATGGCCACTCTGAGCATGAGTCTGAGAACCGAATGCCGACCGCTGCAGATCCGTACATTGAATCAAAGACTCCCCAGACTGGCTTCCACCTGGGGCCAAGGTGAGCCAGGAGGCTGGGAGGCCCTGCTCTGTTAGAGACACAGACAGAAATCATACTGAAAAGGACGGGAATCCAGGAGAAGAGGCATCATTGGCAAACAAAGGGACTGCTAGGGCCTTTGCCTGCTCAAGGAAAGTGGAGGGTTGTTTTATTAAGGAGGGGGCAGAGGTCATTAGCTTGGAGAATGTGTCATATTTGACATAAGGAGAGTGGTAATTTGAGGCCGGAGAGCAAAGCCTCCTCTGCGCTCTGGCCTGGGAGATGCAACCCGCAGATGCTCTTTGCTGGGGAGAAAGGACGGGCCCTCGACGATGAAGAGAGTGGCAGGGAGGGACGCGTTAGGAAGGTCCGATGTCCTGCCGGCCGCTCCAGGGCCACCTCTGTTCATCCCCCGACCTTTGTAAAGAAGAAAAGTCTGCCGACTGTCACTTCTCCGTCACTGGCAGCTCCGAGGGCTCCCGGGACCGAGGCCAGCACCCGGCGCTCCCCCCCCCCCCCCCCATAGATTCTTTTCTTTCTGGAGCCAAATTTCACTCGATGGTGCCAGGCTGCAGCCCCATGGGGGCAGTGCCTTTGGTCATAAGGGGGGCGGGAGTATCTCCAGACCTTCCTCCGTTCCTGGGCAGTCCACTTCCAGGGGGCCACTGGGCACTGTGGGTCTCCCGAGGTTCCGGGGGGAGGAGAGCCAGAGACCACAGGGGAGAGACATGGGAATGTGCTCCTCCCGAGATCTGCGTCCACTCCTGCCCCCCCCCCCCCCGCCCCCAACATGGGCTACGGACAGAAGGTTACAAGGGGTAGCGAGCCGAGCCTCTGGAGGACTGAGTGCCTCGTCGCGGGGGCGGAGGGGGGGCCCCGAGGACCGGAGGCCTGCTTGAGCCACCTCCCCCGGGGCCCACCCCTGCCTGCTTCGCCACCAAGGCTTCTTCCTTCCGGTTCTCCACGCCCTCCGCCTCAAACACGCTTATCTAACTTCTACCCATCCTAAGCTCCAGGAAGTTAGGGCAACCCCCACGGTAAACAAAGCCAAACGTTTTCTTTCTCTGGAGCCTTTACTGTGCTAACTGAATCTTGGGTGTGTGGGGGGTGGGCAGGTGCCAGTCTTTTCCAGAGTGGCCACAAAAGGCCTCTGCCTGTCCCCCGTGTCTATTAACCCTCTTCCAGAACCGGGCGAAGGGAATTTGGGGAAATGCTTCTTGGAGAGAAGTGGTGGGGGGCGGGGAGGGGGGCGGTGCAGCTTTCTCCCCTAGGTCCTGCTTTCTAGGTAGTGGCCCAGAAACCCCTCTTTCTCCACAAGATGGGGAGGCAATACAGTCCCCCATCCCGTGGCCCCACTTCTCCCCACGTGGACCCTCTGCATGGGCTTTCCCCACGAGGGAGAAACCGCAGTCACCAGCCCAGTCCCTTTCTTGTCACACTGGCAGGGTCAGATCCAAGTGTGGGGGCCTCAAACCTATAGATGAGTTTTGGGACCTAACTGCTTAGGGCCCTGCCAGGGCCTTGGGAAGGGTCTGTGCAGGTGAAGGGTCCTGAACAATAGGCTTTATTAGCATGAGGGGTAAACCCCACCCCTGTGCAGAGGCTTACTTATGGACGTATGCATAGCTAAGATATATCCGTACGTGAAGCGTGGGTCAAAGGGATGCTTTGGGACAGCTCTCCTTTGGCTCTTTGGCATAGGTCTGCCGGGCCGCCACCCGTCTCCCTCTAGGCGGTTTGTTCTGTGGATTCCAGGAGGCGGACCCTCACAGACTGGATCCCTCGGGGAGTCTGGGCCACCGGCTTCTGGTCGGGTTTGGGCAGTGAGATGCACCCAGCAGGCAATCTGGCTGGCAAGAGTCTAGAGGTAGGGGGATTTATTTCCCCAGCTGGGCTGCAGTTTGGTGGTGTTCCTGTGCCCACCGCAGCCCTCCCGTATAGCTGTCTTCCGCTCTGCAAACAGCCCGAGCTCTTGCCCCCTGCAGCCCAGGGCCTGGTAGCATCCTACGACCGTCACTTGTCCCGGGGCACTTCCCTATCCCTCGTGGTTTCTGCCGTCTGCCCACACCTCTGTAAATAGTCCCTTTGCTAAACTCTGTCCAATTAACCCTCTTGTTGAGCGTGCCCACAGACAGCAGGGGTGGTGCCCTGGGCGGTCCCCAAGCCATCGCGCCAATCCCAGAGAGGAGATCTTGAGATCCCCACCGGCCAATCTGACTACGCCAGTGTTAGGTGTCAGTTACGTGGGGGTGGGCTTTCCACAGCAGTCCAGAGCCTGGCTGTGGACCCCCCCCGACTCACCACCACCCCGGCATTTGGCACTGAAACTGGCTTATCGGTTGTGGGCTCCCCCTTCCCGAGTGTCCGGACGAGGTTATGGGAGGAACAGGACCCCTTTGCCGTCCAACTTTCTGTCCGTTTTCTTGGGTTGGGAAGACATTGTAATTTTGAGGAATGTGATAGAATTGCCCAAAGTACATGAAAATTGGCCACGTGGATAATGAAGCTTTAAGTGCTGGTTTCAGCACTGTGCCGGTAGATGGGTGACAACTGGCTGCCCCAGCCTCCTTGCCCAAAGCCCTGATTTGTAGCGTCTGTTGATTTCCACGAGGTAGATACTCACCAAGGCCAGTCTCAAGACACTCATGCAATGGCTCTGACCGTGGAGTTGGGAAGAGGTGTGCAATAGCACACCATTAAATAGCATTTCCACCCCACCGATAGGACAGATTAACGTCAGAAACGTAGGCAGTTGTGACTGTAGCGAAGTCATTAGGAAAGCGTGAGTTTTGAGTGTTTCCTACCGTTGTTTTCAACGTGGTTTATTCAATTGTAAGTTTTGAGTCGTGTACATTTAAATTAAACTTACATTATTTTAATTTGTGTTAATGGCGTCCTCCACCATTGGCTTACTAAGCTCGCGCAAATTTAGTGATTGGCTCTCCGAGAACCAGCACTCTCCGGCTCCAGCGCCCCCATGGAAGGGTTCTATTTGCTCTGTGGCTATGGGAAGAAAAAATAGTTTTCATCAAGATAGAAAACAAAAACAAAGGGAGGTGACGAGTATTTCAATTGCGCCACCTTGTGGCACAACCTAACACCACCCCCCCCCCCCCGTGGGCGGGGTCCCCCATTTTGGTCGTGTGGTGTGTATGTCTCGGATGACCAAGTGCCCCCGTTTGCCTGGGACCGGTCCTGGTTTCTGCCCACTGCCCTGGTTTAGCCATCGGTTGGACCCCTTTACGTTGCCAAAAGTGTCCTGGCTCGCACAGCCGGTGATTGAGTGAGTCACCCTACTTTTACCCCACTAGACTGTAACTTCCTTGAGGGCAGGGGCTGTCTTGTTTGCCGCTGCCTCCCTCTGGCCGAGGAGGCATGCAATCATATCTGTTCAACGAGCGGTGAAGGTTCGGAGCTGCGGAAAGAGCGTTCCTGCCTCGTTGGGTACATCGATAACGCCCGGGATTTGGAAATCTTTTCGTTGCGCAGAGATTTTTATTGTAATGCGGTTGGCCCCGTAATCTCCGACCCCGCCGTCCTCCGCGCATAAAAAGCCAGGCGGATAGACGTCAGAGCCTAGTCTCCCGGGGGCGTGCGGCAGCCAGAGGGTGTTGGTCTGGCCATCTGGTGCAGGAACAGTCGAGCCGTGTGGGAGCCCAGCTGGCACGGGAATCCTTGGCTGTCCCCGGCAAACAGCATGGGGAGGAGAGCTGTGGGATCAATAGTAATTTCCTTCAGAAGAACGGCGATGTAGCGCTGTTGGCAGTGGCATTGGGCTTTCCCTGGCACGGAGGTCTCTAAATGCACTTGGCCCTCTTCGCTGCAGAACGCTGGACAGGGAAGGGAACAAGGACAGGACTTTCTTGGCCTGAGCCCAAGAGGGGTTGCCAGGTTGGCTGTGGAAGCAAGCTTTCTCTGTGCCTGCCTGTCATCGGCATAAGCCACGTAGACACTCTGAGGCACTGACAGAGTGGAAATCGTGGAAGCTGGAACATTCCCATGGGCCTGCCGGCACCTCTCAGGCGACATCCATCTACTCAGCGCTTAGGGAGGGACTTCCGTGTGCCAGGAACGGTGCTCTGGGCTCGGGCGGTAAAGGCGATCCTTACTTCTCACTGTCTGGAGAGGGAGGCTAAGGCGCTATCTGACGTTTCTGGAGCGGGGCCGTCGATACTGAAATAGGGGTGAGTCCCAGGTGCCCGGGTAGCGCTTAGGAGTCTGGGAAGGATGGATCCGGCTGGAGCGGCCAATCAAAGGGCGAACAGGAGTTTTGTTGGATGGGGTGGTGGGTGTCGTGGCGCACCACCCAGATCCCCCCTTTAAGAGAGGGGGCCGCCCCCTCAGAATCGCCCTTAGCTCGTGGGCGCTGAGCTGCCTTACCCAAGGTAGCGCTCCCCTCCCTGGGGGCCAACTTGTATTCAACGACTGGCGTGTGGGAGGGAGGATAGAAGGGTTCCCCCTCTTGCCTCAGTCTGGGACATCCCTGAAAGGCCATCGTCGCTCCAGAACTTTCCATGGGGTTGGCGGAAGCTTCTGTCCCAACGGCATGGTAGTTCGATTTCTCTGCCCCATCCTGCTGCCCTCACCCCGTCACAGGTGCTGTCCCCTCCAGTCAACCTGCTGTACATTGGTCTCTATCTCCGGGCCCATCTCCCAGGCAACCCAGCATAAGCCAGGGAGGGAGGGCCAGTCCTTCTCAGGGACAGAGAGCCTGCAGATTGCCCGGAGCGGGGCCAGGCAGGTGTTAGCCGCGACGCTGAAGAGTCTGGATTGCCTCCTGTGCACGCGAATCAGGGCTGTGATGTGGACCCAGTGATGAACTGGTAGCAGAGAGGGGCCAGTTAGTACCAGAAAATCCAGGGAAGGGAGAGAGCGGTTACATTAGGTATAAGGAAAATGGAGAAGGGGGCCTGTGGGCACCAGAGGTATCGGGACGGTCTGCAGTCCGGACGGTATGAAGCCGAAAAAGAATCCTGGAAAGCAGATCCTTGGTCCCTAATTTGCAGTGATCAGTGAGGCTTCGTGGCATTAAAGGCCTCGCGTTGCTATGGTTCCGCCCGTGGCATGGCCTGCAAATGTTACGCTTCCCCAGCCTGTTAACTTTTCTAGGTTGTTGCTGTGCCCAGTTTGAGCCGGACAAGCAAGAAGGAGCAAAGCTCTGCAACCAGGTGGCTGCGGGTTCGGGTCCCTCACCCTGTGTGGTAGCAGAACCAAGGGCAACCTCCTTAACCCTGTTTCCTCGTCTGGAGAATGGACACAATGAGATAAAGCGCGTAAACGCTCAGCACCGGGCCTGGCATATAGCGAGCACGCCATCAAGACCTACCTTCGTTTCCGAGCCGTTTTTGCTTCATTTGCTCTCATTTGCACCTTCTTCATGAGAAATGCTCGATGACGGGCGCCTGGGTGGCTCCGTCGGTCAAGCGTCCGACTTCGGCTCAGGTCATGATCTCGCGGTCCGTGGGTTCGAGCCCCTCGTCGGGCTCTGTGCTGACGGCTCGGAGCCTGGAGCCCGCTCCGGATTCTGTGTCTCCCTCTCTCTCTGCCCCTCCCCCGCTCGCGCTCTGCCTGTGTCTCTCTCAAAAATAAATAAACATTTTTTTAGAAAAGGTAAAAACTGTCTGATGAGTATCCATGTGGTGTGCGGGTAGGGGGAGGTGGGGTTGGGGTGGGAAGCGTTGGCGGTAGTCCTAGGCGCAGAAGTCACAAACGGCCCCTTCGCTTGGGTCCTTCAGAGATTCAGCCTCTCCTGAAGTTGTCCCCGCGGGCGACAACCTAACAGAGGAAGCACGCTCGCCCCTATTGCCTCCATTTGCCAGACGGGAAGACTGAGGTCTGGTGTGAAACTGACTTGACCGCGTTACCAGGGAGAGCCGGAGGTCCCGAGCCCCGGCCTTCCAGGTCTCACGGCGCGACGTGCAGGTTTATATAATCTCTGGAGGCTCACCCTTGCTGCTTCTGCAGCTGGTTCTCCCGGTCTCCCCAAAAGGTGTGAAAGAAGCCTACGGCTTTGGGGTGGGGGCGGGGCTGCCTCCTGGAGCCCCGAGAGCCGAGAGAGCCCGCCAGGAATGGCTCCTGTTTGTTCCTCGGCTCGGCTAGCCAGGGCACCTCCCTCCTCCCCACTGATGTCAGCCGATGACGTCTGGGCCGCATTCAGGCCATGCTGTCATTTGTCCCATGCTCATTCAGCTGATTAAAAGTCATCAATTGTTTTTTAAGCCACCAGCAGGCGAGCCACCAGGCGCCATTTGTTACTGCTTGGCCATGCTGTGCGATGCTGTTTAAACTCACTGAGCAAAGCTTTCGGAAAGCAGAGGCCAAAAGCGTTTTTTGGAGGAAAGAAAACAGGACAGAAATGAGTGGGCCTACGTCTCTGCCGAAAGGAACAATCGGGACCGGTGGCGGAGGGGCCGGTCCCCTTTTTAGCAACTCCCACACAGTTCTTTACAGGGACCTTCATGCCTCTCTCTGGCGAACTCATCACCGCTGTGGCTAACACATGGTTCATTCGGGGACTTTTTACCTAGTTACCCCACCTCTGAGTTTTGCCCTTAGCTTTTTGGCCAGGTTAATGTTCCCCAAACACAACTCAAGGCCACCCCTGCTCGGATACCTTCGGTGGCCGCCCATGGCTTATGAAACGAGGAATAGAGCTGTTGCCTGGCGTGGAGGTTTTGCATTCTCCGTGGGGCGGCCCGGGTCCCCCTCTGGCCTCCTTGGCCACCGGGTTTCAGCCGAGGCCCACCTTTCAGTCCCCCTCAGACATGACCCTTGTTTGGTTGTCCCTGTTCATGCTGCTTCTGCGCGAGACAGCGCACTACTCCCCGCCCCCGCCCCTGCTGGGCGTATTGAACACTGAGGATCTTTCGAGGCCTGTTTGGGAAACCGTCTCCATCCTGGTGTCTCTACTGAGGCCACAAGTCTGTGTCCTCTTCCCCCCTTCCAACCACATGGGCAGCAGACCCTACCGATGCCTCACCCTGTCCCCTTGCGTCCCCCATTTCTGTGCACACAGCTGCCGGCACCCGCGTCCCCATGCCTGGGGGCTGTCTCTGGCCACCCAGCAGGCAGCAAGTGCCAGGGGATTAATTCTCCCCGGGAGCCGCCCTCGACTGATGACTGCCGGAAGCTGGTGGATAAACACCCCAGCTCCCTCACCCCGTGGTAGAACATTCTGGAGTGATTGTTCCGTGCAGCCTCTCAGAGGTCCCCAGCTGGACTGAGTCCCAGTAGCCCAGGCCGGTAACCTGCCCTTTGTTGCCTCCTCCCAGATAAACCACTTGCGCTCAGATCCCTGTCTCTGTAGGGGCTCCTGGGGGACCCAAGTTTAGATGGCATGTTACTTCATTTGTTCTAGTCTATTGTCCTGCTTTGGTCTATCTTGGTCCTGCTGAACTGGCCTCGGAGGCCCTGCAGACCCCAACACGGTGCTGGGCCCACAGCAGGTCCCCTGAGGTGGGCGAGTGGTGAGTGTTGAGTGGCTCCATCTGGATCAGACAGCCCTCTAAATGACATAAGCTGACTTCGTGTTTTGATGGATCGGTCTCTGTGCTGCCCCTCCCCCCGCTGCCTGGCCGGCTCTTGCTCTGGAAGTCTCTTTTAGCCAAGATCCCCCCAACCGTCCCCTTCCCCCCCTTTCAAGTTGGCCCATCCCGAGAGCTCCCTTCTCTGAAATGCTATTGAATTTTAATAGTGCCACTCAGCTTCGCCGTTGCCCCTTTATTTTGTCTCGTGCGTTCGTTTCCTGTCTCCTCTGAGCGCTCGCATTCTCAAGGGAGAGGCCCACAATCCCAAGGGCTTCCTGTTGTTCGTCACTTCTACACCCGGGAGGTATCATAAGGTCTGACTCCATATGAATCAGGGAAGCTTCGTGTCATTGGCAGAAACATCTGTTTTTCCAGCCATAGCTCAGAATTTTCCCGAGTGAGAGGCTTGTAAGTAAACTCAAGGCCAAGGCCAAGTTTGTTGTTGATAGGGGCAGCAGGGGTGGGGAGCACAGAGACGGGGAAGGAGGGAGGGGTTGGATGACCCAGTGGCCGTGACCCACCTTGGCCCTGTGAGCTCTACAGCCCTATTCTTGGACTTGAGCGAGATGTCATGGATCCCACGGAGGAGGGGTGGGGTGACTCTTATCCGGCTGAACGCGGCTTCCCCTTCAGCAGTCCTGCCAGAGCTGGGCTACATCAGGCAACGTAGAAAGCCAACAAACACAGGGAAGAAAGCCTTACATGGACAGCGATTCCAGAATGCTCCCCTGAGGGCCACTCTCCTCATTTCCAACCTTCCTTATCAGATGAAGGAAATGTGTCTTGTTCAGGCGAGGAGGACACCGGTGTTTTATCTTCGGGCCGAGGTCAAAGGGGCACAGTGAACCTCTCCAGGCCTGGAGTCGCCGCCGAGCACCTGGAAAGAGCATTTTCTCCCTTGGAGACGCTGTTTGCATTTCCACCTCGGCTCCAAACAGAAAGCCAGGCCGGCCTCGAGCTATACCGTGGAAAAACAACCTCTGTGCAGCAGTGGCTCTCACATCTACGCTGACTTTTCCAGACCACGGACTGGGACGTGCCGACGCACAAGTATGGGTGGATTTATGTCAAGACGGAGGCAGGAGGTGTGGCCCTTGAGTGCGCAGTGTCCTTCGGCTTCCAGGAATGGGTTTCTCTGCAGCGGCCTGAACTCCAACGGGCGTGCGGGACAGGAAAGGCCTAGCTTCCTTAGTATATGGAGCTGCTGTTACCCTGGAAACAACCCCTCTGGCCTACAGGGCCTAATAACATTCCTCAAAGTTTCCAGGGGTCGCGAGTTTTGGAATGATTACAGAAACGTAGCTTCGTGGGGGCAGAGCTCGGCGGGGGTAACACCCTGTGTCGGGAGTTGGGCCCGTGAAGAAAAAAACACAGCCAAACGAAGGAGAAAATGCAGCTGGTGGTCTAGAAAGACTTTGGGGGCGCAGAATCGTAGCTGCAGGACGGGAAACTTCTACGCATCTCTGGCACCTTAGCCGAGAACTCCTTGAAGTAGCCCTCTCGGGGCGGCAGCTAGGGCGTAGATTCAGGTATTTCTGAATTTTAGAATGCCCTTGGCCACGGACGGGGTCGGGGGGGGGGAGGGGGGGGGGGGGTGGGGAGGAGGGGCTCCTCCTTCTCCAAACATCTGCTCCCTGGGTGGCCGCAGCCATGCAGTGCTGGAGGAAGGCAGAAGTTGTCACGCTGGAGAACTGTTCGGTAATGAACTGACCGCGGTGAAATGTGTCCCCACGCAGACATCCCTCCGGGCTTCCCAGGCGCGGGTCCAGGGCGCGGAGCACAGCCCAGGGCAGCGCCGAACGATTGTAAAGCAAAATCTGGAGCGCTGCTGGGTCTCCTGAGGTCAATGAAAGCGGGGCCCAGGACAGCTGCTCCGGTCGCACAAGGAGCCAGGAGAATCAGGACCTGGCCGACAGTTAGCCGGGTTCTCAACCAGAGAGGCGACCCCCAAGCAGGAGGCAGGATGGGAGTTTCTAAAAGAGGGCCCTTTGAAGAACAAAGACTCAAGAGAGACCCTTGGGATAACTGATGACGCCTTTGAATCTTCTGGCTAAAATGACCCTCTTTAAGATGGGCCGCTAGATGTTTTCGTGGGGGAGGGGGAGGGGAAAGCTTTGAACTTCCAACCGAACTGGTTAGCGCTTTGTTACGGCTAAGAATTCGTGCGCAGTTGCGCTTCGAAGCTCCATTTGGTTACAGACAAGACAACTTGCTTCGATGATTCAGGTGTCATTTTCGAGATCAAGTCCCGGGTAACATTGTTTTCTCCTGATCGACTCTGGAACGTTGGTCTCTGAAGTGGTTTCACTCTGAGTGGGTTTCCCTTGGGTTGGTGGACTTGTGGTGACAAGGTCTCCAGGATTTCCAGGAGCTGAGGGGCCCATAGGGGCTTTGGTTTCCTTCGGCGGCGGAGGGCGATGGAAGGGTGTGGGCCTCTTGTGCCCCCCACCAGGATGGGGGAGGCCTTTAGGGTTCAGCGCTCAGGGACGGAACATGGAAGCCTGCTCAACCTCCTTGACGTCACCGGCAAGATGTCAGAAAGGTTCCTTAAGTGTCTCCTCTTCCAATCGTCGCCAACCCACCCCCCCCCCCCAACCAGTCATCTCAGTAAACAGCTACCCCTTCCTCCCAAACCTTGTTGGCCTCACTGTCAACAAGCCCCCCCCCCCCCCCCCCCGCCCCACCAGACTGTTTTCACGGGTGGTTGCTGACGGGCTGGGCCCAGAGTCTCTGCTGTGACTCCTGGCTGTGTCACCCCTGCCCCCTGCAGTCAAGTCTCAGTGACAAAGCCAGCATGCCTCTGTCAGGTCACATCACTCGGCTGCTCAAAGCTGTCCAAAGTTTCCCAGCACACTCAGAGTGAAAGCAACACTAAGGGAAACTCTATTGTCCCTTAGAGGTGTCAACCCAGCAGTCACCTGCTTGACCTCATCCTCTCTTCC